TGCCTGCAGTATTATGTTTACTCATCCTTTCTTATTACTAATTCTGCTGTCAGCAGATACCCCCAAAGCCCACGGGCTCTTTTCCCTCCCTCATGCCTATCCACAGCAACAGCAGATTGCCATCCTCCATCAGCTAATTCATCAGTCCTGGTGGCAGACGTCAGTGTGGTGGACCTAAAGGTTCCAGTCCAGCAGATGACTCAGAGTTTAGCATGCTGGGGCTTCATTTCAGCTCTATGTTTGGCTTTGAATCGATGAAAACTTTCACCCAGAATAGTATTAAAAGTATGCAAAGGCTGCAACATCAAGCACTCCAAAGTCAGGAATGGATACAGAAAAGTTACTTAAGCAGAAATAATTTAAATTTTAGTATATGTGTGCATGACAAAGGAGATGATAATTAAAAAGCACATCCCAGGTGAGTGTTTTTTTTGTTTTCTTTTTGGTCATCATTTTGTTTTCTCTAGCTCACTCAGGTCACAAGGTGAATAGCATCTAGCAAAGGAATCATTTGCATGTAGGACTTCAGTCTCAATGACAACAGGACATGGAAAACAGGTAGAATAGAAGAAAGATGGAAGAAAGAAGACAAACTCTAGTGTTGCAGTGTGAGTTCCTGGGAGCACTGAATCCCATTTCTGTATTTTCATTTGGGAGGGGCAAATTACAAGAAATAGATTCATTCCAAGGAATCAGTAGCTACCTATTCCTTTTCTTCTATGTCCTAAGAACTCCAAATGACAGAAACAGTCTATCCCAATCCTCCTTACAGAAGGAAGAGGTAGAAACAAGACAATGAACTTATCAATCTTTGCTGAATGACATGAAACAAATCTGATTCCAGGCATCTTAAATCATCTATCACAAACGAGTAGGTACTTCTGATCGTAACTGTCCGTTTGTTTCCTATCCACACAAGGATAACACATTTATCTCTCATAGAGGTCCCCCCCCAAAAAAATAATCAACACTTCTGAAATGCTCCCAGGGTACAACAATGAGCAAAACAAAAGAGCCCACAAGGAGATTAACAATTCTATCCTCAGAGCAGGATCTCAATAGCGCACAGTAAATACAGGACAAGGCAGCACAATGAACACTGAAGCTAAACCAAAATGCTGAATAGCTGCTTATTATGTGGAAGTTTTCCATTTGGAGAACTCAGTGAGGCAGGGGTCTAGCTGGGAGAATAACATGAGCCCCTGTGATTAAAGGCCACATCACAATGCACACAGTCGAGGGGACTGAGCTGGCACTGAGCACACTACCCGAGTTCACTCATTAAATCTATTTTAAAGAATGCATTTGCTTGTTGGGAGAAGTGCTGGATGGTCATATGGAACCTGTCTGACAACCAAGCCGTTATGCTGCTCTCTCTGTGTCTGAGGCTTCATGTTAACCCAGAGGTAAGGACTGATCCCTGTTGACCACCCCAATCTTGACCTTGCCAGTACTGACCACTTGATCCCCACTCCAAAACATTAAAGCACCTGTTTAACCATAAGCACAAAAGGAACATTGCTGAATTCAATCAGATTGTTCATGTGTTTCAATCTAGCTGTGATTATCTGCTTTATTGGATTCCTTGCCTAGGATATAGACATTCTTACTCCAAACACCTCTCTGCGTGAAGTGTGTTACCAGGCCCAAGCAGAAACTTTTGGATCCACAGTTCAGCTGTTGGAATGGGTCATATGAACATGCTTTAACATACTTAAAAGTCAGCTGAGTTGTTTTAAACAATACATTAATGTTCAGAGCTAATTCTGCTAACCTGCTCCAGCACAGACAGGGAAACCATCAACATGTGTCATCTGGTGGAACGGGGGGAAGACATTGCTCTCTGTATGGACAGGGAAAGGTGCTTATGAACAGAAACATCTCCAGCCAACAGCACATGATCAAGAAGAGTAAGTCTGTCACTTCAGTGTCATCTGCAAGACTGATACCACTAGAAAGAGCTGAGAACGTCCCTTCACTTCGTGTATGCCAACACAATAACAGTGATCATCAGAGTGATTGTGTCAAAATCAGTGATGTGGAGATCAAAAGCTTCCTATTGTTCTCTCATTTTTTGACCCATCTACTCCTTCCTAAGGATGATAGGGTCATTATGAAATTCAAAACACTTTAAAAATAAAATAAGGACACTTTGTAAAAGCCAAAAGAACAGTGAACCACAGGTGCTTTGGTTTATTTTTATACAGTAACTACAGCAAACACTCAGCCTTGGAACACTCAGTGCTGGAATCACTGTAGCTGTGTGTGTGCCTCATACCCACTTCACTTATTTCTGAGTCAGTCATCCTCCCTGCTCCAAAATGAACTTTTTTTCAAAGGAAGCAGCTTATCTTCCATACTGCAGAGCAGAAGAAAAATCCTCCTATACAGCAATATTTAAAACATGGTTTTATGGTCTTATGGCAGCTAATTTTCCTTAAGTGATTTAAGGGAATGAATACATCTAAAAGTGTTGCACTGAGCTGTTCTGCAATGCCAACATGAAGCTAAACTTCCTCTGCTTTAAACAGTCCAGTCTTCTGCGGGCAGCCTCTCATGGCAGATCTTGTCTGGAATGGGAGGGATGAAGGTTATATTTTTATTACACTATTTTTCAGGGAACTGGACCTTGCATTTTACTTCATTTCATTTTCCCGAGTGTGGGAAGACCTCAGGTGAGGAGAAGGTGGCAGGACAGATATGTTCAAATGCATAATCCCTGATCTGATGTGGTTTGACACCAGCCCTCCTGCAGCTGGTCACCTCTGCATGCAGCCAACCATCTATCATGTATTACTCAACTGAAAGTAACATTCTACACCTGAAAAGTACTTAACATTTTTAGCTGCCTGAAAGAATTCAAAGCAGGTTTTATTCTGGCACTGTCAGAACTTAATAAAAACAGTCACTGCTAAAGCAGGATGTTGCATGCACAGTCCCATGCCCTCTCAGTGAAGCAGCTGGCATTTTTGTCCCAGCACTTTGGATATGGTCTTTCCATACAAATATTACTGGTATCAGAGGGACTAAGCCCCTGGTATTGCCTGAAAACAACAGTTATCCCATATACTGCATTATATTGCTGAGCATCCCTGGAACTGTCAGAAAGGCTGGTGTTGACTAAGGGATGATAAAACCAGACAAGAAGGTTTTTTGGTGAGTAGCTAATTCACTGAGAAATGGAATTCTGGAAAGCAACCTGAACTTTGCTAGTACTTCAATCCAAAAAATATAATTTCTAAATAGTATTTTTAAAAAAAAATAAATAACCCTGAAAATGAAATGTTACACTTGTGTTTGAAAGGCTCCTTTTTCTTTTCCTCCAAAAGAAATGAACTGGAACTGGTTCATCTCAGGTTGATCACTGGGGAGGGGTGGGAGACAGAGAGATTGAGGAAAAAAAAGATTTCCATTTCAGACCAATTCTGACCAAACATTTCTTTTGATTTTTCATTTTACCCACCAGAGCAAATTAATTCATTCTTCACACACAGGGCAGCTGGAAACTACCAGAATTTTCAAAGCTGCCCTAGAAGGGGATGAAGCTGAAAACAATTTCCCCCTGCCTCCAAGAATAGCTTTATTTTACTGACAGTGACTTTTAATAGTGCCAGGATTTGTTGCCTTACTTGCTACAAGCATTTCCCTACACCCGAACTCCTTGTAATATTTAAGCATCTCTTTATTTTTGAAAGAAAGCTTTCTTCTCAAAGCAGTCTGTATGCTCTCTCCATCTTCTTAGAAGGCAAATTGTCTTGTTATTTGGGGTAGAAAACAGAGGAAGGACCAGGCTGGCTCTAAAGCTCCTTTCTGTGCCTTCCATCATCATCATCATCAATCTGATACAGCTTTGGAGCCTTGGTCAGAGACACAATGCTAAGTGCTGCAGGAACTGACTAGAAAGACAAATTCTCTGCCAAACAATTAGCAGTCTAAGAAAATATTTTTCATGCAATTGGATTCCACTCTATATGTAAGGATCTTATCTATTAACCTATCTTCCTTGTACCTAAAACCTCTTCTGTACAGGTATTACTACTAGGTGGAAGATAAAAAGTCCAATTAAGATGTATTGGGAAAACCAGGAGTTAAATTAAAGAAGGTCTTATCCTATACATGATGTAGCCAGGGGTAAGAATCCTCTTTCTTTATTAGCAAGGCAAACCAGGTCCTTTTTCAAAGTAACAAAAAGGAAAAGAAAAAAAAATAAAAGGGAAAAATTAGCAAAGCTTTAGGGAATTAAAGATCCAAATTCCCTCTCCGTAGTGGGAAGCAAAAAGAAAGGACAAATACCAGGAATTCTACAAGGAAAAAAATCATAATCTATAAAATCTCCTCTTATTTTTGGTAGTGATTTTTTCCTACCCATCTCCATTTTTTTTTCAGCAGTTTTTCTTAGGTGCCACGTTCAATAATCCTTCTGTGCTTTGATGTCAAACATTCAATAGCTGTCTGCCTCCCTCCCACTCCTCTTCTCCATATTCTCCGCAATCCATCTCCTCTGATTAGCTAAGATTTCACCTTCAAGAACACCTCTGCTTTTCCGAGTGAGCATGACTGTGTGCGTGCGTGTTTATATAATATTTGCAAATATTCTCCCCCTCCTGCACTGCATGTTACACAGCAACTCCTGCCAGAGCTCCGGATTAAGCATCAATGCCATTCCATAATTCAATTTGGGGGACCTGCTGTTTTGAATCCGGCTCAGAGCATGAGAGCAGCTCGATTGAATTTAGGCCCTGCTTGCAGAATTATTTCATATTTAATCCGAGCTGAACTTCATTTCACTTGCTCTCTCCACTTCTGATGCTTCCTGTGACAAAAGACACAAATGTTGCCCGATCTCACGCGGTGTGTGTGTGCTCGCTGACTTCTCCCTTATTTTGGTTTACCACTGGATTAAACCACGTCAGAGTTACTTGCACCTCACACAACCCTGCAGCGAGAAGGAGTTGGTACCTCAGCAAGGGGTTGTTCTGGCATCCCCTTTCCCCACTCACCGGATTGTTGTACATGTCGATGATGAGCTGTTTCACTCCGTGCAGTGTGGGATGAGCCCAAGGAGATGGATTTGCCCAGTGCCGGTTTAAATCGAACCCCATCAGCGAGCACCTGCATGCACACAAAAACAAACACACACAAATGACATGTATGGGCTGCAGCCTCTTCTGGGTTCTGCTGCAGAATTAGGGCTATATTCTGCAGCTGATGTATTTAAATATGTTCTTCTAATGGGAAAAAGCAAATACTCTCCTGAGGTAAGACTGCAGTAATGGCCACTTTTAGAAATAATGTGACCAGCAGAATATCACTGAAACACCTTTGGTAATTCGGCCTTCTTCCCCTCCATACCACCTGTGCTCACTCTTTGCCTTTTTCCAGCTTGGCAGGCTGGCTCTGGAACAGTCTGCCTGACCTTTGAGGTCCCCTTCTCTTCCATGCTCTGGCTGAGGGTCTGTAGCTACGAGGGTGATTCATACACTGCACCACCAGACCTTTAGTTTGCCCTCAGTCAGGCTTTGACTCAGCAAAGCTGTAAAGAGCATTGTAATCGATGGCCGTTAAGTAGGTGCTTAAGGGTTTTAAAGCATGAATGTCATTGTTCCACTAACCCAGGGCCTCAGTCTCTCCCCCTCCTGCAATTGCCTACACAAAAGTTAGCCAACCAAGACACCAAGTTAAAATGCTTATTGGCCATCAAATCCTGTAAGCGTTGAAGCATGTATGCCACCTTGGCTTCCCCTTCCTGCCCTAACTCACATCCCTCTCAGTACATTTGATTCTGCTGCTCCCAGTCCTATGGAGTAGTATCCCATTCTTTGTGAAGTCCCACTGAAACTCAAGAGGCTGTCATTAGAGTGAACACAGGAGAAATTAAAAAGCTGGAAGTGGCACAAATAGGGGGAGGTGGAAATCATGTCCCTTGCCTAGTGCAGAGATCACCTAGACAATTTTTGGCCACTGATACATGCAGGAAGAGAAGTCTCTCTGTCATCTCAAGCTGAGCTCAGGATCAGTGGACCCTGGGTAGGTCTTACTCAGGCATCTGTGAAAGACCACACAAATAATAAAAGCCCAGGTAGAGAGCTTCCTCTATAGTAAAACCAAATAAACAAAAAAATCAACCTTGCTCTAAGCCTTAAAGCTTCTCGAGGAAAGAAGAGCTTTCATCGATCCCCAGTCTATTACAAGCAGGTCTTTTCAGCTCTAATCTTTTAAACACACCTATGCAAACAATAGAAATTTACTCCTGTAGTGCTATCCTTTGACAAAAATTTCTAAGCATCTGATGGCCAAAAGCCATAGGTTTAACTGGCAAAAAGAAAATAATATAAAAACTAAGAGCAGAGAGGTGAAATGCTAAGAAAAGCGAGAGGATGAAACCAGAGGTTGAAATTCATTTCCAAAACTGATGAATAAATATTTTCCCCTGAACCAAAAGATACGAAGTTAATGGGACATTCTTTTGTATAAGAAAGACCTTCTGTGCTCCCTGGGCTGGGCTTAGACAACCCAACCATGAGGCTGTCTGGGAGCTCTGCAACTACCAGCTCTGCAGCTCCATCACTGCTGAACTGGATGGCTTGCTGTCATGGAGAAGTCACCTCCTTGTCTTCCACTTCTGTGCTTGTATAGAAAACAGAGGGATTTCTTTTCTGGACACTCCAAAAGCTACAATTCCACAGACAACTCGGTAAGTTGTCTCCATCCCACTCTAAAGCAAACCATATTGGATCGGATTTCTCTCTCTCTTCTGTTTGTCTTCATGTAAACTCTCTCCACTCAGTTCTACTAAATCTTATCTTCTTTTGAACTCATAGACATTAATAAAAATCAGAAGTACTTCCAGAGATGTAGGTAGAATTACACTGGCATAAAACTGGTAGAAGAGCAGAATGAGAGGAATAAGTTTTTCATTTAATAAAAGCGGAATCTGTCATGACTCTTACCATATTTTGGCACAGTTCCCAAGAAAACAACATTCTTACTGTACAAAAATTTTCTTAAGAGCTCAGAATCTGAAATTATATCCTTTTATATGGTTAGTGGGTCACATTTACATTTTCTTTTAATAATATTTAACACTAATAACACTATAGAAAATGAGTATATTTTGATTCCATTATGTTCACTTCCAAAGCACATTGAATTGGCCAAGCTATGCGTGCCAAAACAAATTTTAAATTCACACATGGATTGTCAATATTAAATTTGGGGTTTGGGACCTTTTAGATAACCTTACCTAAGTCATCCCTACAGGGAATAGAAGTAAGCATTACCTAATTTTTGTAAGTTCCTAACTAAGGCATTGAAATTTGAAGTATTTGGATGTGTCATAAATGTCAGGTAAATGATGAATCTCATTGTTCATTTAAAGCAACAAGAACAGTTGAAATTAGTTGTTTTTACTTGAGAAGACTTTATAAACAGAAGGAAGCAATGCTTAACAAACAAGTTATTCATTTGGGAAGCTCCTCTGAGCTCTATTTAATAGGAATCCAAATTAATTTTCAAATATCATTTAGCTAGTCTTTGATGTTGTGTATCACATCTTTATCAATGTAACAACAATTAATTAAGTTTCTGATGTAGGCATTACTATTTCCTCCTAGTTTGGAAACAGTGCAAAGTTTTCTCCTCCCTCCCAGTTTTTAAGCCTTTTTCTTCTTTCCTTTTTGCCTAAAGACAAATTTGTATCTACCACATTCTCTCTTTATTCATCTGCTGCAAACTCATGGCCTCTCTAAGGAAACATCAAGTTGTGTTCCCTGGTACTTCAGATTTGATTATTGACTCTATTACATGTAGAATTGTCTCCCAAAGCTCACGTATATCAGGACATGACCAAAACATACGGCAAGAGTCTCCCACATGCCTCTTACAGATCCTGCATTCATTATATTCTTTTGCTCCCAGATGATGTGATCTCCCTTGTGGCTAATACCTCCAATGCAAGAGCTTGAACAGGATGACTTAAAAATTGCATCTTGCACTGCTGTTTAATTCCTCCTCCCAGTTTTAAACCAGATCATTTTTAGTACACTGTGCTGCTGGTTCTGCTGCTTAACTGTTTGCCTGCTGCTTCAAGCACTGGGTAGGCAAAGTAGAAATACAGATATAGTCTGGAAACAGCAGCTCTGTGGTAGGAAACAACTGTGTTCCAATACAATACATAGTCTTTCAACATGAGATCAGCTCTCTTGCTCAGACTGCAAGTGTTGTCATTGGCTTCAATACACCTCACCTGCCTATAAGTGTTCCCCTAATTTTGAAAGTGCCTCCAGATCTGCCCTATACAGATTAGATTTATCGTGTTCAGTAAAAAAATTACGAGGGGAGAAAAAAACCACCTAAATTATATCAAAGGGCTGTTTAAGGATGATCTTGGAAAGGGAGCATGGAAAACAGAAAATCAGAAGACAGAGACTCCAAGAGATGCAAGGGAAGACAAAAGCAGCTTCAAAATCGGTGAGCGTTGGGGGTTTTCCAGAGCAAGGGCATTGCAGAATATCCCATTCCATGAGGCTTAATGACCACGCCCATTCATGCTCTTACAAATGTGGCAGGTCACATTGCCATGGAGCCCAAAAAGTGCTGGCACAGATTCTCACAGGTTAGAAAAAAAGCACAGGCAGAAGTAGGGGAGCTTTTTATAACAAGCAAAGTAGCACCTGATTGTGGTTTTCATTCCTACTGTGAAAACCTGGGTTGTTTCTCACATAGTCATTGCTACCACAAAAAATGACATGTATGCAATTTAAAATATTTAAGCTGATAATAGTTGTTTGAATTTTGGATTATGCTTGCTAGAGTTTGCTAGATATACAGACCACATACGATATTTCTGCTCTGTGACTGACTGTACATTTAAATCAGGTTCTGTGAATATTCTTGTTGAATTAGAATTCGTGTTTCATGAATGTTTCCCAGCCTTTTTCTAAAATTTCTGCTTTCTCTAAGTAGATAAATTTATTACAGTGTTTATAAATTTACATAAACACAGTGCAAATTCAGTCAAAGCAAATGAGTTTCAAAATTGCAATGGAAACTGAAACATTTTGCAGTATTCATCCCTCCCTACTTGGGAGGCAGCCAGATCTCAAGAGGTTACCAGCTCAACTCAGTGAAACCAAAGATGTTCAGACCAGCATGCAGCTTGCTGGGCAGTTATCTGGACAGAACCCCTTTGCCTCTGGGACATCACTGCTTTTAAGGATTTCCTGTGCAGCTGCTTCAATGACAACATCCTTGTCCCTTTCTAGAACTGATACAGATTTAGTACCAAGGCCAATGCTGGGTTTATTTTTTTAGGGCTGCTTCTCATTCTTTTAGGGTGTGCCTCTCCCTTCTGGAATCTCCAAGCTATAGAAACCTCCAGGAACTCTGCCTTCCTTTCACTTCAGTCCTCCCTCCCCTGCTCGTTTTTCCAAACCATGTGAGTCTAAGTCTCTTACTAACAGACCCATTTCCACAAGGTGAGATATGGAGAATAATGGAGGGAAGGAGGTAAAGAAATCCTTTTTCACGGCATGTGATTTATTACAAAGAGAACTCTACACCCTTCCCTTCAGCTTTGTGAGGTTGCGTTGGTTCATTGGATCAGCACCAGGTGAATCTCCAGATAATGCCGAACACAAAGCAGGGAGTTCCAACCCACAAATGGCACTACCAACAGGGTGAGGATTTGAAATTGAAAAGGTAGTGGGGAGGGGGAGCACTCTTTTTTTTTTTCTTTTTCCCTCCTGGGCTCATGGCAATAAGAGTGGAGACAGAGGGTAATTGGTCTCTATTGTTGCAGTTCTTGAAGCAAGAGTTATAGCGGGGAACTGCCATGAGACTGCAGCCTGCAAGAGCATGCAGGGAGAGCAGGTGTGCGGCGTGAGAGACTAAAGGCAAGGGCAACACACGGAAGATTTGCTTCTTTTAATAAATATCATTTTAAAACTGATATATTCACGACATTTTACAAACCAACTCTACACCTGCCATCAAAGTCAGGTCTTCATTAGTGTGCATTTCACCATTCGGGTGCTTGGGGTTTGTGATTTATGCATTTGCCTATTATTCATTAAAGAGGACTAATTCAAGCCCACATATTCTAAAGCAATTAG